AGAAAATTGGGTGAGCTGCCAGTAACACAAGCATGATTCTTTGTTGTATGCATACTTTTTAAAATAACAGAAACCCCTTACAATTGGAACTAACTTTTGCTTACCCAAAGCAATCTCAGTAGACCATCTTAGAATCTGGTCAAAATTAAGCTTATTGTTTGCCAGGTGATCATAAAGACATCCACTAGCAGCATATTCTAGAAAATTTAATAACAAAAAGTCATAGTCAACACTGTTACATTACTGTTTAGTACTTTGGGGTTTTCTGCTGTGATTGGATAACAGGTAGACAATAACTATCAAAATTAAATATATGTCTATTCTGTCAGATACTAAACATATTGCATTTTTCATTTTTTTTCCTAATAATCATGCTTCAAATGGATGTTGTTGCTGTTGTAAAATCCTCTACATTTTCCATTCTAAAGCTTTTAATAGCTGCCTTACACATGTTTACATCATAATCACCCAATTCCAACCCATGCCTAATGCTTGGACCGATCTTAATAAGAAAGTATTCCCTGAACACTGAAATCAAAAGAGTACTCACATAGAAACAACAAGAAAGTGGCAATGTTAAATGAAAATTTTGATGCAAACCAGTCTGGGTTTAATTTAGGGCGAACAATGTCATCATACAAATAACATGTGAGAGTTAATTAAGCTGCTCACCTGTCACAAGGCAAAAGTTGGGCTGCGAATTTACAGCTCCATAAAACTTGATTATATGCTTGTGACTGAGCATGCTCAAAATACTCGCCTAAAACAAAGGTACATAGAGAGTTAAGTAATAATAATAATAAAAACGAATATTTAAACAGGACAGTCCTTCAGTGCAGGAGCACTGTTATCAAAGGGGTCCTGTCTAAATAACATAATATAAGGATAAAAACTAGAATAAGATAAGAATGACTACCACCTAACTAAATGCCCTATGCAAAAAATTGATCGAAAGACTCCCTAAATGGTACCCCTACTGCTAATTTGCTTGATTTTTAAAGGTAAAAAATTAAAAGCTGAGGCTCCTAAAAAATAAAAACTTTTCTGAGCAAAGTCAAGTCTCAGTTTCGGGAGAGCAACGGTGGTCCCTCTGTTCCTTGTATTAAAATCATGGGTTAACAATTTAAAATATTCTTTGAAAGGACTACACACATTTAATTGTATCAAACATTTAAGTGTTTAATACAAACAATTCAAGATAGCATGCAGCTTCTGTAACAGTTACAGAGAGGTAGGAGGTCAAAGTTCAATAACTGAACTACTTTTGGCCAAAGTTAAGCATCAATTTTTTCAGAGGTGAAAGGAGAATGTACAATTCCAAAATTTGTTCAAAACGTGATCAACGAGTTGAAGTGCTTGTAAGCTGGGGACAGAACAACCACATCAAAATGCAAGCCAAACAGGATGACATGACATCACGTTTGAATCCACCAAATCTCTACCAGGAGGTCTTTGTGATAAATAATTATGTTTGCCTCTTGAATAGAAAATGAGGTATGATTAGGATAAGGGAATTTTGCTTTGACAAAAATACACGTAAGTACAAAGAAACCCTTAAGTGCATCAAGGTTAAGTGAGATCTTGGTTTACAAGTAATCACTCTTCAAAAGCGCAACAAACTTGAGTGTAATTCATTTAGAATTGTGCATCTCAAAATAGCATCGATCAGTTAAAAAATTGAGCCAATGCAAAATAAATTAACATATGTTACAGCGACTTGCAAGCTTCGACACCCAAATGTTTCAGGGTTACGATCGCATCTGTTTAGGACGGAAAAATATTAAACACAGCTGTGAATCGTAACCTTCAACAATAAAATTACATCACTGCTGTTAAACGAGTGCGTACGATTAAGAAACATTCTCAATCTCACATAATTACACACAATTGTGTTTTTAACGATAGCTAAAATTTGAAAATTGCGTTAACTTTTCAAGAGCGGGATAATCTGGTCAAAACACAAGTGAGATTTTTACATCAATGTACATCAATAGCTTTCATGTGATTTTCTGAGAAACCTCAAAACAACCTCATTTACCTATGCGCCAAATCTCTGGTTATTTAACAACAGATTGCGCGATTAGACTTGACTGACAAAGGGTCATCCAACTTCCTATCGAGTTTCACCATTTGATTATAACTTGCCTCTTTTCCTAAACTCAAGATCTTCTTTACCGCTACCTCTTTATCTTGCGATTTCCACCTCGCTCTGTAGACAGAGCCAAACGCGCCTCCACCACATTTCTCGAAAAATTCGAGGTCTTCAAAATCGATCTGGACATAGGCCATGGTTAAAGATTTTAAACTACATCCTCGAGCTAAATAAAGGCCACGGATCTTTCAGTCGATCGCAGAT